GTTAGTCTGTATTCGCAAAAAGAAGTGCTTTGTAAATAAGAGACTGGTCAAATACCCCTCAATCTACTGTATGTGGACAATTAAATTGGCAATCAGCTAAAAGCCACTGTCAGTTAAATTAAACTTGGCTACTATGTAAAAGCAACTGGATCGTTGCTGTATCGTTGTACATTATTTACAATGTGCCTAACGTTGCTAAACTGTTTAACCAACACCCAGGTAAAAATCAACTAACGACTGGCAGCAAAAAAACGTGAAGGCACGGGGAAAACAAATTGGTAAAGAAATTAAGTAACACAGTAATGACAAATTGGGGGAACAAATTCCCCGGTAGTACTAGTCACAACGGGAGGTCAGTGACACTGCATCCGAACTGAGGCACACTGTATTCAAAACAATCTTGTTCAACGTCTGGAGACCAACACTACATCCTGACCCAGCAACATTTGATCGACTGGTTACTGTCCAGTCAGCAGGTTACCTGAAAGACAGCGCCCATAAAAAACAGCTGGATCTACGTCAGCTACTGGTGTATCACAGAGCAGTGCAACCAATCGACCAGAGAAGCTAGCCGGTCCTGTTTCCTGCCCAGTGAAGCTTACTAGAGGGTGACAACCAGCAGTAAGGGGAACCTATAACATGAATGCACAGTACTGGGTCGTAACTAATTACAAGACATTTATATATAAAGGCCTCATTTGTAATGTCACTACTCCCAATTTCTGTTTTACTTCTCATATACATAGCACTGGGGGGGACACTATAATAATGCCTATCCCAGTATTTCAAAACACTCAGCTTACTACTACTAATGATAGTAACTGTAATTGCCCTAACAGGAGTGTTTTGTTATCTGCAATAACACAAGGGCCAAACTACAGTACCAGATTGAAAAAGTATTGTTATGCTTGATTACAAGGTGGTGTCATATGTACACACACACACACACACACACACACTATATATACATATAAATATATAAACACACGACAAATATATGCACCATTTCCATATTACTCTCATATGTATTAATTATTTGAGCACGCCTCTAAAGCTCAGTCATAAAACTACATTCCTCAGTCATGGTCCAGGCCTAACATTCCCACGCCCACCATAAGGGGCTACACATGACTGGAAAATAAAATCTAGCCATCAGTTGTACGAGGCAATGTGCAAACTAAGGGACAGATGGGGCACGAATGCGTGGATGGTAAAGTAAGGTAACCACATAACAGTGTTTAGCCCACTGGGTCATCTTCAGTCCATGTATTATGCTTTTCTGGGATGATGGGTAAACATTCTCCCCATAAAAAGACAAAAAGTGGGGGAATGTAGTAGGAAGAGGGCCTGAAGCATAAGCCCGTATATCAGAGGCCTGGTATGAGGCCTGGGGCCTGGGCTAAAGTAGTCAAAACTTTGCTGCTATAAAGCAACGTTAAGTTGTGAGCAAGAGGCAGGCCCTGCTCAGAGAATCTGGCAAGAATCATAGAATCATAGAATCATAGAATATCAGGGTTGGAAGGGACCCCAGAAGGTCATCTAGTCCAACCCCCCTGCTCGAAGCAGGACCAAATCCCAGTTAAATCATCCCAGCCAGGGCTTTGTCAAGCCTGACCTTAAAAACCTCTAAGGAAGGAGATTCTACCACCTCCCTAGGTAACGCATTCCAGTGTTTCACCACCCTCTTAGTGAAAAAGTTTTTCCTAATATCCAATCTAAACCTCCCCCACTGCAACTTGAGACCATTACTCCTCGTTCTGTCATCTGCTACCATTGAGAACAGTCTAGAGCCATCCTCTTTGGAACACCCTTTCAGGTAGTTGAAAGCAGCTATCAAATCCCCCCTCATTCTTCTCTTCTGCAGGCTAAACAATCCCAGCTCCCTCAGCCTCTCCTCATAAGTCATGTGTTCCAGACCCCTAATCATTTTTGTTGCCCTTCGCTGGACTCTCTCCAATTTATCCACATCCTTCTTGAAGTGTGGGGCCCAAAACTGGACACAGTACTCCAGATGAGGCCTCACCAATGTCGAATAGAGGGGAACGATCACATCCCTCGATCTGCTCGCTATGCCCCTACTTATACATCCCAAAATGCCATTGGCCTTCTTGGCAACAAGGGCACACTGCTGACTCATATCCAGCTTCTCGTCCACTGTCACCCCTAGGTCCTTTTCCGCAGAACTGCTGCCTAGCCATTCGGTCCCTAGTCTGTAGCTGTGCATTGGGTTCTTCCGTCCTAAGTGCAGGACCCTGCACTTATCCTTATTGAACCTCATCAGATTTCTTTTGGCCCAATCCTCCAATTTGTCTAGGTCCTTCTGTATCCTATCCCTCCCCTCCAGCGTATCTACCACTCCTCCCAGTTTAGTATCATCCGCAAATTTGCTGAGAGTGCAATCCACACCATCCTCCAGATCATTTATGAAGATATTGAACAAAACCGGCCCCAGGACCGACCCTTGGGGCACTCCACTTGATACCGGCTGCCAACTAGACATGGAACCATTGATAACTACCCGTTGAGCCCGACAATCTAGCCAGCTTTCTACCCACCTTATAGTGCATTCTTCCAGCCCATCCTTCCTTAACTTGCTGACAAGAATACTGTGGGAGACCGTGTCAAAAGCTTTGCTAAAGTCAAGAAACAATACATCCACTGCTTTCCCTTCATCCACAGAACCAGTAATCTCATCATAAAAGGCGATTAGATTAGTCAGGCATGACCTTCCCTTGGTGAATCCATGCTGGCTGTTCCTGATCACTTTCCTCTCATGCAAGTGCTTCAGGATTGATTCTTTGAGGACCTGCTCCATGATTTTTCCAGGGACTGAGGTGAGGCTGACTGGCCTGTAGTTCCCAGGATCCTCCTTCTTCCCTTTTTTAAAGATTGGCACTACATTAGCCAAGGCTAATATTGCAGAAACACATTCCTAAGTGGTGCTAGGCATAAGAATATACACGCAAACACATTCCAGAAAGGTGGTACCAGAACACCTGGACAAAGAGATCAGGAACACACTGACCATCTTAAGGATAAGGTCAGGATGACAGCATGATGGATAGAGATGTTTTGATCAAACCAACACGCACCAGGTAATGGGTGGTGCCCTAATACGTCAGAGGATGGCACCCTGAAATGTCAGGGGCAATTCGTAATTTGTTGGTACTGGTGTATAAAGACGTATCTCAGAGGGAGTGTCTTTGGCCAGCCGAGGGAGCAGTGGAAAGTCCCGCCACTAACTGAGCTGCGTCCATTGTCGTGAGCATCCATGTCTTAGTATCCTCGTAGAATCTGCCAGGTGCTATTACCCTGCTTCACCAGCAATAATCCTAGCCGGGCGCCTTTGCTCTAAGCCAAGTCTTGTGGTCTTATTGGGCAGTTCGACCGGAGCCTGCTGTCTGGGCTGTCCAGCCAGAGGCAGTGCAGCACGCAGCCGAACATCTGACAACAAAGGGCTTGCGGAGACTTCAGAAGGAAATTTACAGGAAGAGCTAAACAACAGGGAGGAGGGAACCCTATTTCCAGGTGAACATCAAAGGCCTCTTCTGGTCTATGTGGGGGTGCAGAGACACATCCTGGCATCCTTCATCGAGGAAGTAAACGGACAGGGGTTTGCTTCATAAGTACATAAGAGCGGTCACACTGGGTCAGACCAGTGGAAGGAAGGAATTCCCGCTTCCCAGGCTCCCCGGTGGCTGCACACTGCCCACTCGCCAGGTGCAGAATGGGCTGGGGGGGCTGCGCTTGTCTAAAACCTCAGGCACTGGCCACAGTTAGGGAACAGAGACCTGAGGCGAGGGAGCAATGGCCAGATAATTATTATGTATTATTATGTAACACCGAGAGGCCCCACGAAGTACAGGGCTCCCCCACAGACACAGAGTAACCGACGACCCCACCCATAGGAGACCAAAGTCTAAGTGGGATTATTGGGGTTACTCTCTACCTCAAGCCCCTGGGGCGCCTGTAACATGCCCCATGTACCGCATCTCAGAGGCAAGCATTATAACTGCTTCAGCAGCTGGGCCTTGCCCTGGTGGGTCCCAGTGACCGTGCAGACACCTAGTGTGGACCCCTAGGCACGGAGACTTAAGCACTGACAGTTCAGCGTGAGCAACAGCGGCTCCTGTTCGGGCCCCCGGTGCGTCCAGACCAGAGCCAGGGCTCGGCAGGCCTCGTTCTCAGGGTGCCCGCTCCAGCCCAGCCTCCAGCCAAGCAAAGCCAGGCTCAGCTGGTGACTCTCATTGGGGCCCCTCTGCTCTAGCTCCCCGCCAGCCACTGCTGCTCCCGTCCACACCTCACACAGCCTTGCCCCCAGCTGTATCGCCCGGCACTCCCAGTCTGTTCCCACGCGGCCAGTCCCTGGGTTTCTCTGCAGCCCCCTCTCCCACCTTCCGGCTCAGGCCCTTTCCCCGTATCTGGGCTGGGGAAGGCCCCATGCCGTGGGACGGTGGCTGCTGCGAGCTGCAGTCCCCTGCTGGGCAGATCCGTCACATACAGAAACCAGACAGAGGAGGGGCGGGAGAGGAAGCAGCTCTCCCACGGTGGCACAACAGGTTAGCAGCAGGGCCAGCAGCAGCACCCAGGGTCCAGCACCCAGGGCCAGGCCAGGACTCACTCTCCTCCCACTCCTGACCCTGAGCGCTAGACAGCTCTGTCACCTTCCCCGGGCGCTCTGTTGAGCTGTGGTGCACTGACTCCGGGGGTGGCACGCCCAGTCGCTGCATCCCCGAGGTGACTGACGATGATTGCAGGTGTCAGGTAAATCCCCATCCCCTTTTGGCACAAGAAAAAATCCTCCCCTGCCCAGCCCTCTGGGAGCTCGGCCAAACAGTGGAAATATGCTGGGTTCCCCCCTCCCCTGCTTCCTAAAGCCAAGTGTCATCCTTAGGCAGACAGCCCGATAAAAGCAGCCCAGGGAGGCAGATCCAGCCAGAAGGCTCCTTTGCAGCTGAGCCCTGCTCACCAGCCCCAGCAGGACCGTCCTCCATCTCACCATGGCAAAGGCAGCCGGGCTTGTCTGCGCACTTCTCCTGCTGGCTTCCTTCTGCTGCCAGAGCCTGGCTCAGAGTGAGTACCGGTGTCCCCAGTTGCCGCCTCCATGGAGAGACGGGAGTTGGGTCAGGGAGCACCATGGGATCTCAGGGCAGGGTCAGGTGCAGGGAGGTGCCAGGGCATCTCTGGGGCACAGAGGGCAGACCTCACCGAGACACAGCAGGTGTAGGGCCTGCTCTCACGTGGGTGTCTAGCTGGGGTAACACAGGTGTAGTGAGCAGACTCAATCAGACTCAGGCGGTGGTCCCTGTATCACGGTGACATAATGAATATGGTGCCTGGCTCCCTGCTGATGGGCACCTTGGGTAGCAGCCCATCTCCGCGACCAGGGCAAACAGTGGCCATGTTAGTCTGGTGGCATTCTACACCCGTGCTCTGCCTGCGGGTCAGTAACAACAGGGGAGAATCAGGCCTGGTGAATTTTAAATGCTCTTGGGGATCTACTGCTTGAAATATGGGACTACCCCCAGATGCCGGGGCGCTGTTTCATGCACCTTGTGCTGCGGAACGGCAGGAGAGAATTCCACGCTTGTAAAATTAAACTGGCTCTTTATTACAAGACCTATTTATGGAGCTGCTGCAAGTGGAGGGGGCATTCCAGCCATAGGCACACAGACTGAGCTCCTGGTGTCTCCTCCAAACTCTTCCCTCCTGCGCCTGTGCTCCTCCCTCCGGGTTCCATGCCGTTGGCGCAATGCTCTCTGAAAGACATGTATAGCACAGCCTGGCTGCAGGAACAGTACTGTGGGCAAGATCCATAGGTGCCGTACTGCCCTGGCATCACGTGGCAGCCACAATGCCCCCTGAGGAACAGGAACAGTATGGAGGTGGATGGGGATACATCAGGGCTGGGCCAGCAGGGGTGGGGGTGGATCGAAGATAGAAGGAGAAGTGACCAGGGCAATTTCTTGCCACAAGCCCCTGGGGGCTATTTGCAGGGGATGCAAATTGGCTGCCCTAGTCTGCACCCGCCCCTCAGCCCTGGCGTAAGGCAGACCCAAGCCAGCTCCCCTCAGGCAGTGGTGAGCTGGAGCCGGTTCGCACTCGTTCGCTAGAACCGGTTGTTAAATTTAGAAGCCCTTTTAGAACCCGTTGTTCCGCGAGGGAGAACCGGTTCTAAAAGGGCTTCTAAATTTAACCGTCCCCAAGTGGCGCCTTAGGCGTCGACTCCACGGGCGCTCCAGCCCTGGAGCACCCACGGGGAAAATTTGGTGGGTGCAAAGCACCCACCGGCAGCTCCCCGCCCCACCCCCGGCCCCAGATCGCCTTCGCTCCGCCTCCGACTTTGCCCCTGAACGCGCCACCCCACCCTGCTTCTCCACCCCCCCAGGCTTCCCGCGAATCAGCTCTTCGCGTGGGAAGCTGGGGTGGGCTGAGAAGCAGGCCGCGCTTCCCGCTCAGGCCCAGGGAGGCGGAGGTGAGCTGGGGCGGGGGGGTGCGAGGAGGACCGCCCGCGCCGCAGCAGGTAACCCGGGGGGGGCGCGCAGGGGAATCGCTCCCCGCCCCAGCTCGCCTCCGCCTCCCTGGGCCTGAGCGCGAAGCTGCTGCCTGCTTCTCAGCCCGCCCTGGCTTCCCACGTGAAGAGCTGATTGGGGGGGGGAGAAGCAGGGTGGGGTGGCGCATTCAGGGGAGGAGGCGGAGCAGAGGAGAGGTGAGCTGGGGCCGGGGGGGGGGGGCGGGGAGCTGCCGGTGGGGGCTCTGCACCCACCAAATTTTCCCTGTGGGTGCTCCAGCCCCGGAGCACCCAGGGAGTCGGCACCTAAGGAGCCACTTTTGATGCGATCAGTGGGGGGAGGGGCCACTCCCCCTGCTCCCCCCCAGCTACGCTCCCCGCCCCTAGGAGCCAGAGGGACCTGCCGGCGGCTTCCTGGGAGCTGTCCCAGGTAAGCACCGCCGGGACTCCCCACCTCGCCCCCCGGCAGGTGCTTCTGGCTCTTAGGGGTGGGGTGGGCACCCACTACGGTGGACCACGAGACCCTCCTGCCCGGTTCTGGGGGCAGTCAGGGGACAGGGAAGGGGGGTGGATGGGGCAGGGGTCCCGGGGGGGGGGGTCAAGGAACGCGGGGGGGTTGGATGGGGCAGGAGTCCTGGGGGGAGGCGGTGAGCAACGACCCCCTCGTGGGGTGAGGAGGGAACCCGTTGTTAAGATTTTGGCAGCTCGTCACTGCCCTCAGGCCCTGTGCCTCTTGCACTGTCTCAGGGCGAGTTTGCCTGTGTGTCTGTTGGGCCGGATCTCCCCCTCACGTACGCTGCTGTCACTCTGCTGTGTCCGTGGGCATCACTCCTGATTCCCCGCAGCAGTAGCAAGGGCAGCAGCAAACCCTTTGAGCCTAACACCCAGCCAGAGCCTTGCTACTGCCATCTGGCATTTTACATACAATGGCCTCACAAACTGTGGGCCAGATTGTGCCAGCACTTACCCCAGTATGACTCCATTGAGCTAACTGGAGTGACTCTGGATTCACACCAGAATCCACTGAGCTAACTGGAGTGACTCTGGATTCACACCCGGCTCAGTGAGAGCAGAGTCAGGCCAGGCAAAGACACCAGAGCTTGTTACTGAGATACTGCCACCACCTGGGCCACGCTTCCTCAGGATCCCCCCAGGCAGCCTCCATGGGCTCCATTAGCTGCTCACGTGAGCGAGGATGGCCCGGCTGGGCTCATGGGGATCAAGCTATTGGAAGAGGATATGGGGTCCTGGTGACACCCTGTGGTGCAATGCACTGAAAGGGCAGGTCTGTGCCAGGTCCTTACCCTGGAGAGCAGTGGGGGGGTCCCAGTTGTGTGCTATGTATAAGGGCCCAGGCGGGGGCGGGGAGGCTGCGGGGCCACCTGCTCTAGGGCTGACCCAGTCCAACTCTCTCCTTCTGCCCCGGGCGTGGGGACGGGTCCCAGAGAGGGGACGGGGGGTCCCATCTAGCTGGGGGCACCCTCATCCATGAGGCTTTCCTGTTCTGTTAGAAGGCTTTGCTGTGCCGGATAAGTGCTGTTTCAGATTCCAGAAACGTAAGATCAAGAGAGACAACACAGTTGGCTATTACCGCACCAGCCCAGTGTGCCCTCAGCCAGCCGTGATGTGAGTATCCTCCAGCGCAGAGCCCTGGGGACAATGGCAGGGGCGGGGGGCTGAGAGGCCGCAGGATGCATCGGGAGCAGAGCAGGGAGGAGGGGATTAGATAGCAGGGAACGAGGTAACAACAAAGGGAGGTGACAGAGGAGAGGATTAAAGTGGGGTGCACAAGGGGAGGGGTTGATGCCATGAGCGAGCATCAGAGCTGGCTGAAGCAGCTGCGGAGACAAGGGCTCCTTCCAGATGCTGGGGCTCCCGGTAGCTGAACATCCACGGCCTTTCCTGCTGCTCTCTGGGGCCTCCCGGTGCAGGAAGGACCATAAAGTGGGTCTGGATTAAGTGGTGCCATGTCTCTGAGTGCCCCAGGATGGCTCACCAGCACTGGTTTATTTTTACATAGAGTCTGGCCTTTCCTGGAGCCAGTGGGGGTTGGTCCCTGGGAGAAAGGCTCCAGAGAGACGGCAAGTGTCCAGCTGATGATCTCTGGCTCATGGAGATCTGCTTCCTTTGCGTCGGTCACCATTAAGCCTTTGATTAGGAAATTATATCCAAGTGGGCACCATCAATATGTGGAAAAGATCTCTGCTTCTTTGGCACCATGGGCCCCTAGCGCTCATGCCATCCTTAGCTTTGATATCGTCTTTTCCATGCCACCAGCTGTGATGGGTAAAGGCAGGAGGGTAAACAACCGGAGCTGGTAACTCTCATGGAATCCATCATGTGTATCCATTGGCACAGAGGGAATGAGCCAGCCAGCCCCCATGTGACGTTACAAGCAGAACTCTCTCTAGCTAGAAGGGCCGTCCCGCTCTCCAGGAGGGCTCAGCGGCTCGTCAGGCCTCTTTGCGGGGACTCAGGCTGAGTCCTGGGGTACAAAAGGAGGGAGAGGGGCTGTCACTGTGCTTCAGTCACAGCTGAGAATACCAGATTCAGGACAAACTGCTGAGAAATGGGGCAGACCCATCCCAGATTGGTGGTTATTCTTCCATAAGATATACCAAACCAGTAATAAACGTAAAGGTTTGTCTCCTCTCACTGGTTAACAAGAAGTCAGAAATGCAGCCCCCTTAGGTATCCCAGCCCTTATCTCACCACCCAGACACTAGACTTAATGATGAGGAGTCCGGTGGCACCTTAAAGACTAACAGATTTATTTGGGCATAAGCTTTCATGGATAAAAAAAAACCACTTCTTCAGATGCATGGAGTGAAAGTTACAGATGCAGACATAAATATACTGACACCTGAAGAGAAGGGAGTTACCTCACAAGGGGAGACCCAGTGCTGACAAGGCCAGTTCAGTCAGGGTGGACAGTGGCCACTCCCAATAACTGATGAGGAGGTGTCAATACCAAGAGAGGGAAAATTGCTTTTGTAGTGAGCCAGCCACTCCCAGTCCCTATTCAAGCCCAAAGTGCCACCGGACTCCTCGTTGTTTTTGTGGCTACAGACTAACAGGGCTACCCCTCTGATGCTTAATGAGGAGTGATTATTTAAAACCAGTTTCATCAACCAAAGGCTTCTTCTAATCCCAAGAGATCAGCCACACACCCAGGCCAATATATGACTCAGATTTTACCCAATAACCATGCTGTTGCCAATCCTTTAGTATCTAATATCTAAAGGGTTATTTACACTGGCAAAGAACGAGGTGAGAGTTAAAATGGTGAAAGGAATGAAATACGTACAAACGTTGCAGAGTTCTTGTATCAGGTTCGTAGCAACGCTGTCACGCTGCTGGCTTCTTCCATCTCTAGTAACTTCCAAACGATGGAAGGTCCCCAGTCCATTGACTGGAACGCTCCTTTTAGTGCAAGTCCATCGTCCAGAGATCAGAGCAGGAAAGAGGCACAATGGAGATGCTCCCAAGGGTTTGTATTCCCTCTCCCATGGGGAGGGGCTGCTCTCAGTCTTAGTCTGTGGGGAAGTACAGGCACAAGATGGAGTCCAGAGTCACACGAACTCGTCACATGCCCTTGCAAGCTTCGAAGGCTAAAATGTCCACAAGGCCCATCGGGCGGGAATAAGCTTCTTCTTGGCCCATTGTGTTCATTAAAGGACCATATCCTTGAATGGTCCATTCACAATGTGCTGACCAGACTGGATGTCAATTACCTTGGGGGTGTTCCCCCAGGAGCAAACGCATTAGAAATACTGGTACATAGTCAATACTCATAACTTCAGCTACAAACATGATACATTCATACAAACAGGATAATCCTATTTAGCAAATCATAACTTTCCCATTGACACCTTACATGACATACTTCATATAGGATTTGTTGCAGTTATAGAACAGTGGTAGCAGCAGTGATCTACATGTTCATATTTTAATCATACAACATCAGAGGGGTGGAATAGAGAGTGGAGTGGGGACAGACTGCCAGGGCGGGAAGGAGTTAACAGCTTGCATTTATGTGCCTGTAAGTGGCCTGTAATCTGGCTGGGCCATCACAGTTCTGGGCTGTCTGGGATCCCCCTGAACAGGATACCAGTGCTGGCCCTTTGCACCTACATCCTGCTTTGGGGGGCACTTTGGCCAGAGTTTCACCCCCATGTTTCGTACCCTCACCCCACCATTGCTGTCTCCTGGCTGATTCACTGTTTTCCTTTGTAGATTCAAAATGAAAGAAGGTCAGGAGATCTGTGCCGAGCCTGACAAGCCCTGGGTGAAAGAATACCAGACATTTCTCAGCTTGGCTCGTAAAGTCTGAGGGCCACTGGGAGACGAGCCAGGAGCTCGCAGCTCGCTTGCTGTGCACGTCTCGTGGCACAAGGGAATCCGCTTTAGCTTCATCTAGAAAGCATGTTCCTGTTTCACAAGTGCAATTATATAATCACCCTCTGCTGTGCTGAACGCTGGTTAATAGCTGTGGTTATCCTGACATGGTCCCTTGAGAGACCAGAGGGACAGGAGCCCTGAAACGGGGAGGGGGCTGTTGTCCCAGATGTTAGTCCCATAATGGAATTCATCTAGTAGCAACCTCTAGGAGCAAAATGTTCTTCACTCAAGGGGTTTCCACTGCCTCTCTTTACCCCTCTGTGGAGCGACCTTCCTGAGGTTTCAGCTACAAAGCACCCTCTGCTGAGATGTCCCCGCCCGCCGTGATTGCCTGATTTGCTTGTTAGCATCAATAAAAATCCCAACTGCATAAGCAGCAGTAGAGTCTGTTGGTCTGGTTATGGCTCATTAAAAGCCATTCTCCTCACGCGCTATTCAGGCCTCAGTCCCGCAAACAGGGCAGCAGCTTCTGAAGGGCTCGGGATGCCCCAGGGGAACTGGGTTGCTAGTGTGCAGCCCCAGTGAGCAGAAATAACCAAGGCAGCTGTGTGTCCAGCTGCTATTGCCTCCGTGCCCCTAAACTAGAGAGGAAATATCCCTCCAGGTGCTCCTGTGAGGCAGGGAAGCAAGAACGTAAGAAAAGACGTGTGGTTAGGCCAGCTATCGCCACATCCCTAGGGCGTCTGGCCTCTCAAACTAGCCTAGACAAAGCAGACTATAGGGGAACAGACTAGAGGGGGTCTCACAACAAAATTTTTGGTGGCCTCAGAGTGTGGCTACCAACCCTTGCTGGTGTCCGCTCTGAGACTTTTTCCTAAAATACTTCATTAACTTTAGGAAAATCAAACAAATACGCAGATATACACAAATCATTGTCATTTATTTAAGTAGGGTTTTTTGAGGACTCGATAATAAAAACAATGCTGTGAAAAGTGATATTTGTATGTTTGTTAATATCACTTTTCTTAGCAAGCCCCAGGACAAATCAAGCCCTGGATGCCGGGGGAGGTTGGAGTGAAGGCAGTGGGGGCCAGGGGCGATGGCGGGATGGATGTGAGGCTGGGGGAGGCAGCAGGGGCCCAGATGGGGGGATGGATGGAGGATCAGTGGAGGCAGCAGGGGCCTGAGGCAATGTGGGGGGTTGAGCCCCACCACCACGGAGCCGGAGGTCGGAGCCCGCTGCTATACAGATGGGGCCAGGAGTCAGCACCCAGGGCTGGCTCCCACCAGCTGGAGCCCAGGATCAGAACCCGAAGACAGAGTCACAAGGCCGGAGTTGGAGGTCAGCACCCGCTGCTGCATCCAGGGATCGATGCCCAAAGCCCCATGGCCAGGCTTCCAAAGTCCTGCAGCTGGAGCTTCCTGCCCAACCACCCCAGGGCTGAAGCCCAAGGCCCTCCTCCCCCAAGGTGGATGGAGAACTCACCTTCCTCCTGCAGCGTTGTGCCCCTCCTGTCTCCAGAGGTGGTTCAGGGCAGCGCATCCAGGAACAACAGGGAGGCACAGGCAGGGGCTGATTCTTTGCCCACCACCCCCATCAAACCTCTGGTGGCCACATTTAAGAAACGCTGGTGTGTTTTGCATGGTTTTAATTCAGCGACTCAAGAGTTCATAGTATTGCAACTGCAATGGAGACACATTGGCTGTGATTGTTCCCGGCCCGGAGCCCTCCATTGGCTTTGTGCGCAGAAAGCAGCCGGTTTCCCCCTGCCGAGGATTCCCCCATCACAGAGGAGTCCTCGGTGCATGCAGAGCTCCTACCTTACCCCCTGCTGCCCTGATAGAAGGGGAATGGCTGGAGAGACTGAATGCTGGCAGCTCCCAGCTAGCAGTGGTCCCTCAGGGCTTATTGCTGGCCACATAGACACCATCCCCAAAGCAGAACTGGCCCCAGGGGCAAGGAGCCACAACCGGCCTGTCAAGGTTCCTTCCCCACTCTGAACTCTAGGGTACAGATGTGGGGACCTGCATGAAAAACCTCCTAAGCTTATCTTTACCAGCTTAGGTCAAAACTTCCCCAAGGTACAAAATATTCCACCCTTTGTCCTTGGATTGGCCGCTACCACCACCAAACTAATACTGGTTACTGGGGAAGAGCTGTTTGGAAACGTCTTTCCCCCCAAAATACTTCCCAAAACCTTGCACCCCACTTCCTGGACAAGGTTTGGTAAAAAGCCTCACCAATTTGCCTAGGTGACTACAGACCCAGACCCTTGGATCTTAAGAACAATGAACAATCCTCCCAACACTTGCACCCCCCCTTTCCTGGGAAATGTTGGATAAAAAGCCTCACCAATTTGCATAGGCGACCACAGACCCAAACCCTTGGATCTGAGAACAATGAAAAAGCATTCAGTTTTCTTACAAGAAGACTGTTAATAGAAATAGAAGTAAATAGAAGTAAAGAAATCACCTCTGTAAAATCAGGATGGTAGATACCTTACAGGGTAATTAGATTCAAAACACAGAGAACCCCTCTAGGCAAAACCTTAAGTTACAAAAAAGATACACAGACAGAAATAGTTATTCTATTCAGCACAATTCTTTTCTCAGCCATTTAAAGAAATCATAATCTAACACGTACCTAGCTACATTACTTACTAAAAGTTCTAAGACTCCATTCCTGGTCTATCCCCGGCAGAAACAGCATATAGACAGACAGAGACCCTTTGTTTCTCTCCCTCCTCCTAGTTTTTGAAAGTATCTTGTCTCCTCATTGGTCATTTTGGTCAGGTGCCAGCGAGGTTACCTTTAGCTTCTTAACCCTTTACAGGTGAGAGGAGTTTTTCCTCTGGCCAGGAGGGATTTCAAAGGGGTTTACCCTTCCCTTTATATTTATGACACGGCCCCCATTGTAGGCTGTATCTGAGTATCTGGGTCTCACATGCCTCCTGCATTGTCACTGCCTGGAAGCAGCTGGAACAGACCAAATGCTGGACCTGCGGGGTCTGATTCAGCCAGGGTGTGTTCTGGCCTCCCCCAGCCTTCCCTACCCGGCCCTCCATGCAATTTCTGTACCCAATGCCACATCGGTACCCTAGGGCCAAAAAGTTTGCCCACCCCTGGACTAGCTGCTTTGCTCCTTGCAATCCTTTACCCCGCTGCTTTGCTCCTTGCAATCGTGGTAAAACACCACCACGCCGATGCTCTGTCAGCGCTGAGTCTGGGCTATCTGCTGGCCAAATCCAAAGGGGTTGGCTTGCGTCAGGATCAGGGATTAGGTATACCAGGCACTTTACGGCTGCTTGCTAGCCCCTTGGCGCCTGGCGCGGGGCAGTGCCCTGAGCTAGGAGATTGCTTGTGTCAGTCAGCTTCCGGCAGTGTCTATAAATGACCGAGCACTAGTCCTGCCCTGGAAATAAGCCAGGGATTTGGAGAACAAAGCAAAACATGCAGCAACTTGGCTCTAGGCAATTTAGTGGCCTCTGAGGGAAGACGACGCAGCTGGTGTGTGCTGAAAGAGAAGGAGGCATCTGCTGGGATTCCCTGCACAAATGCTTAATTCCATGTAAACACAGAAAGAGGATTCCAAATAATTCAGCGATCCGCACTCTCAGCCTCTCCCAGGTGGCTGCATTCTTCCAGCCAGAAGGCTGAGAGCATACCCCTGAAACCCAGCACTGAGAAAGGATCCTCAGAGACTCCCTGGGTGCACAGCTGTCCCTGGGGTATGACAGCGAGCATAGCTTCCCCAGGGCTGTTGGCTGTTGGGGGATAGAGTGAAACCACGGGTTGGAATGACCAGGGCGGGGCAGGCAGGGGGATAGGATCCTGGAGCACCATTACGGCCTGGCCTTCCTCCCCGATGCTAGTGCTTTAAGGAGCATGCGGCACTGTGCCTGAAGGCAGCTTCTTCTTCTGCAGGGGCTGGGTGAGTTGGGGGGCCTGCGATCCCTCCAGAGGATCACATGGCTTCCCTGCAGCTCGCAGGCATGAAGCTCTGGAGAAAGCTTCTGGTGCCAGAAAATCTTCCTCGTAAACAGGGGCATTTAAGGCTTTGGTGCTGTGTGAGCCAAACAGCTGGGGAGAGTGAAGGGTTTAGGTGTCAAGACAGGTGGTTTCCCCCTGTGGGCTTGTTGACGTCATTCACGGCAATGATGGAGCCTCTCTAAGCTCTCTGAGAGCTCCCATCTAGCTGGCAAGGCCCAGTAGCCCTTGCCTCCCCTTAACCACTACTCCCAGGCCAGCAAGATATTTCTCCCTAGGCTTATTGATGAACATAAGAACAGCCAGGCTGGGTCAGAGCAACGGTCCATCTAGCCCAGGGTCCTGTCTTCCGAATGGCTAACAGGCCAGATGCTTCAGAGGGAATGAACAGAACAAGCAATCATGGCGTGATCCATCCCCTGAGGTCTGCTCCCAGCTTCTGGCAAACAGAGGCTAGGGACACTCAGAGCATAATATCATAATGCTTCTGGGGGTCATTATGATATTTTCTGTCTTATTATCTATCCCTTTCCTAATGGTTCCTAATGTTCTGTTTGCTCTTTTGACTGCTGCTGCACACTGAGTGGCTGTTTTCAGAGAACTATCCATAGTGACTCCAAGAACTTTCTTGAGTGGTAACAGCTAATTTAGACCCCATCATTTTATATGTGTAGTTGGGATTATCTTTTCCAATGTGCATTACTTTGCATTTATCAACACTGAATTTCATCTGCCATTTTGTCGTCCAGTGACCCACTTTTGTGAGTTCCCTTTGTAACTCTTTATAACAGCTTTGGACCTAACTAGCTTGAGTAAATTTGTATTATCAGTAACATTGCCACCTGTCTGTTTGCCCCTTTTTCCAGATCATTTATGAATATGTTGAACAGCACAGGCCACGGTTCAGACCCTGGAGGACCCTGGTAGTAACCTGTCTCCATTGTGAAAACTGACCATTTATTCCTACCCTTTGTTTCGTGTCTTTTAACTAATTACTGATCCACG